GTTGGATGTCTCCCTAAGTTGGGTAGGTCTGACCATCTGCCTAAGAAGAAAAGGAAATTATAAAGTTTGTGCAAGTATATCAATGGTTGTTCTCTTATATTGTCGTTACGGAGACTAAGCGTACCCTTAAGTTAGGGCGGCTTAGTCATACGTCGTTTGTGATTGTTTAGGCAGATCAGGCGTACCCTTAAGTTAGGGCGGCCTGGTCATATTGTCTTATGTACCTAAAACTGCTTAAGCTAGCTTGGCGTACCCTTAAGTTAGGGCGGCCTAGTGATATGCTCTTGTCGTTGATGTTATGTAGGTTGGGCGTACCCTTAAGTTAGGGCGGTCTGACCATTCGTCGTTCGTACTTGTTTTAGGCAGGTTAGGCACACCCCTAAGTTGGTGCAGCCTAATCCTATGCCCTATGTAACTTTGTCTAGAGCTGACTAGGCATACCCTTAAGTTAGGGCAGTCTAGTCTCATGCTTCATGTCGTCAGTTAAGCAGAAGCCAGACGTACCCTTAAGTTAGGGCGGTCTGGTCATATGTTTTATGACTAGAGTTGATGCTGTGTTGGACATACCCTTAAGTTAGGGCAGTCCGGTTGTGCGTACTTTACTTGTTTACTAAGGCAGGTTGGACATACCCTTAAGTTAGGGCATTGTCTTATCGTATGCCATAAGCAAGGGGGACATACAAAGGGAGAAAAACTGAGTGATCTAACGAACTACTTGGGTCAAACTGATGTGGGATTGTGAGAGATGTTTGTTTATGCATGCTTGTGGGCTCTCACTCTGGGGCGTCTTTTCGATAGGTTAGCTGCTTAGATGCTCGCCAAGTGCTGGAGCCATAGGTAGATGAGATGGATGATGGGAGGGAGAGCTTGGGATAAAGATAGGACTGACCTTACTTGAAGCTAAAATTGACGATAGCTCACGATACCACCCTCTGAAAAGGGATCGTGTAAACTATCTTCAATCCTAACTACCAAGCAAGTGTCAGAAGTTAGTCCCAAGTATAGCTTTGCTTTGTCTTTCTGTTTTCAGCTTTGTATAAATCTTGGCAGCCTCCTGTTCGTATGGGAAGTGCTGTCGAAATTTCTACAAATCTGAAAGAGTTAGTTATTTTTGGACCAGTATAAATTCTGAAAAGATTCTGAAAAGGCACTTTTCCTACGGGAAGCGCTGCCGAAATTTTGTAGAATTTGGAGAGTTAGATTATTTTCAGCTAGGAGAAATCTGGCAAAAATCTGGCAATCCATCCTGTTTAGGGGATATGCTGCCGGAATTTCTTACATTTTTAGATAAATATAAGAGGTTAGTTAGGAAGGTAAGATTATTTCTTGATCACTCAAGCATGGC